GGACACTCTTGTGGGACACTCTTGTAGGACACTCTTGTGGGACACTCTTGTAGGGTACTCTTCGTACGAGACTTCCTCCAAGAGTCACACGTCAAGTCTCCAAAACGAGCGTTTCGTACGAGACTTCCTCCAAAAGTCACATGTCAAGTCTCTCAAAGGAGCGTTTCGTACGAGACTTCCTCCAAAAGTCAAGCAGAAACACCCATCGGAGCACACACATCACGCAGCCCTGCCAAGCAGTTTCGCGAGTCCAGCCCCTCCAAACAACACCCGTTCACACGCCAATCCGACTGTGACAGCGACATTCACTTCTACCACAACTCACCACCTCACAATTCCCTGCGCCTGCCACGAATCTTTCTCCATCCACATGTCTAACGCGCACAAAGTACTGCGCCTGCCACGAAATGTCACCTCCGTCACACCTCGCAACCTCACCATTCCCTGCGCCTGCCACGAGAATCGCACTTCCACGCCTCAAAACCCACACTCAGTACTGCGCCTGCCACGAAAAGTGACAAAATGCACCACACCACAAGTTTGGAATGATTTCGACCCGTTCTGAGCACACTCCCATCCACCAAAATCGGCATTTCAGCTGAGACTTGTCACGAAAACAGAGCTTCGATGCCACACCCTGAAACGCAAATCCCAATGGCACGGCCATGTCCAACACCCCAAGAACACGACTCTGCAAACGCTAATCCCAATGGAACTGCGTAGCAACCTGCGGATCTCACAAAACGCTGCGCCTGTGCAGCGAAATGCATCACGCTTCTTGCGCGACGTGTCATTTTCATGCAAATCACAATGGAATAGCGTCGCAAACTGACACGTGACACATCCATGAAAAGTCACTTGCAAAAGCTTCCCCCAATGGCAGCGCCTTAGCGCTCTAGTGCGAACGGTTGCGAACGGTTGCGGACGGTTGCGGACGTAGAAACAACGGATCGCGAACAAGGCTCTACCCCCAGACCCCCAAGAGTTAAACGAGAACCCTTCGCTACGCATTCGGGAAAAAGACGCATATAAGGATATGATATAAGGGATGATATAAGGATGATATAAGAACAGACTAGTCCGACATGAGTGAGTGAGTGCCTGAACATGTTGATTGGAGCCAGTGTTTGGATCTTTGGGGGGCTTGGTCATGGTCAAGATGCATTACCTTCCATTCCAAAACTGTCTAAGGCCTAGGGTGCTGCCATTGGCTGAGGAGCACGGGTGGTTTTGCTGCATTGATTGAGTGAGGTTGCAGATTGGATCGATCGTAGACGCACTCGTGGCCGATCTCTGATTCAAACCTCTCGGTACACTAGCTTCTTCAAAGGAACCTTTTTGGAGTCCCTCAGTGATCTTTTACATGATTTTACATGTCTATTATGTGACCTCAAACCCGCGAATGAAGCCGGTCACGTTGAACCAGGTTTCAACTCACGAACGAAATCGAGTTCGTCGGTTTTTCTTTCCCCTTCACCCCAGAAGAAAACGGTTGACAACGGTTGAACATATCCAGGTTGGTCTCTGAAAGCATCACGAGTCGAGTCGATCTTGGTCCTCGAGCCGATCCGGTTCCTTCCTCGAGACTTCACTCTGGCCACTTCGCCCGTTGGACTTGTTTGCGACTCTTTGGAGGTGTTGGTTTTGGAGGTGTTGGTAACCCTACCATCATCGACTCCAAAATGCTCCAAGGTGCCAAGTACTAAAGATGCTAAGTTGTTCGTAAATTAAGGTAGTACTAAGTAAGACATCAGTCTTCTACCACGAGTCTACCTAATCTTCAACTCACCCACTTGGAGCTTTCTCAAGTTTTAGGCTCTCCGCACAGCAACCTGCACAAAACCCACTTGCACAACACTTTGAGCAGGGAACCACCAGGGCTGCGATGTTGTCGCGAGTGAGGTGTAGGATGATCTTGGACACCTGCGCCACCTGTGAGGTGAAACACAGCACAGGCTCTTTCGGGCGCTTTCAGGTCAGTCTGGAGACTATAACTGGAAGGCACTTCTGCAGACTATCAGTATTGGAAGGCTGAAGATTTGGAAATGCTGGACTCCCAGACTTGAGACCTGGAAAATTGTACCAACATGTCAGTCTTCGCGAAAGGCATGCGGTAGCTGCTAGGTGGCAGGAATTGCCCACAAAGGAGTTGACTCAAGAAGGGATTCTTGCTGTTATATCCACAATGAGGCAACGCTGC